TAGTCATCCAAGGATAAGGGAGTTACCATTTACCACTTGTGGTCTTTAACTTAACATTTTTAGGATAAGATAGTAGAGTCACGTCTCATACCATCTAACAATAATTATGACAGATTTTTTTAATTACCTAATGGAAAGCTAAATTTTAACTTGACTTAATACCGTTCATTAGTTCATGGGAACCTAAATTTTGACTTGACTTAATACCATTCATTAGTTCATAGTCATCTAAATATAATGACTTTACCACTTTTGGTATTTAAGTGAAATTTGATTAATTTTGGGCATTTAAGTATTGATTTTGTGCCACATTTGGCACTACAGTAAATTTCCTGTCAAATAGTGATCATGGTTGTAGTAGGCGTTAGGCGCTAGTCGGGCGGTAGAGTAGCGCCTAACGCCTAACTTTTTTTTTTAAAAAAAAGTACACGTGTGTGGGTGTACGTGTATATTATAAACAATTTTGAGTCGGCTAAGTTAACTCAGCTAATTTGACCGAAATGGACGAATTAACTTGGCCAAATTCAGCCGATCGAGTTAGGCGCTATGCGACCGCCTAGGGAGAAATCGCCACGACCTAGGGGTGCCTAGGGCCTATGACCGAGTTTTGCAGTAGTGATAGTTATTTGAAATAGGGTAACAAAATGTAATCACATTATTCAATCCCTTAAATCATTTCAAATTCAAAGAAACAAAATCCCAAATTAGGGAGTGCAACATTTCACCAGTGATCCTATGACGAATTGAAGGGTTATTAATTTGGGATGGTTTTGAGGGTTGGATAATGAAATTGCAATTTTGATCTTATCTTTTTTTGTTTTGTTTTTTTTTTTTGTTTTGTTTTTTTTTTTTTTAGCTGCCCAAGGGTATCCCTCCAGCTGATAGCTAGAAGACTAATCCCGCGTCCCTACTGTTAGCACATGGGTTGGAGATCAAACCCCCCAACTTCATGCTTAAGGGACGAGGTGCTGAACCACCACGCCAACCATGTTGGTTAATTTGACCTTATCTAGAACTAGAATGACCATTTGAGATGAAATTCACCGGAGGACCAAACGTGACATTAAATCAATACACGGTGGACCAAAATGGTCCGATTTTAAAACTAATGATCAAAAGTGACAAAATCACTATATTTGAAAGACTAAAAATAGTATTAACTATATCAAGACACCTAGTCAAATAGTTTATTCTCTACCCTCCCAACCACAATACCCCCAAGTAACGTGTCTAAAGGGCTAGAGTCATCAGCGGGAGCGACCTATACTTTCAGGTAGTGACTGTAGCATGAGAATTTTCCCATCACCCAAAAAAAAAAAAAAAAAAAAAAAAAAAAAAAAAAGAGAATCAACTAGAATCATTCAACTTATAAATGCTAATATGAGATGATGGGGGGGTGAAGTTTTCAGTTTTCACACTTGTGTATATCAACAGTAGATAGACAAGGCCTGGCTAGGATATCCAGTCCCTTTCATTGTGATTAAAATGGAACAACTACAAAAACAAAAACAAAAAACACAACATAATCATAAGCAACAACCATGATTATATAGCCTGATCTTCATCTTCATCATCATCTAAGATACCATGGGTTTCCCCACTTGAAGAAGTAGACTCTAATAATTGCTCCACTTCCCAGCTTTGTCTCGTTGCAACTCTGTCGTGACCCGGTGCATACTCCTGCAATGTACAACCAAAGCAAACGCCAACAACAAAATTATTCCCCACTTCTCTACTTGGTTTCTGGTTTGTCATCTCTCCAATAATTTTGCAACCAACCAGCCTTCTTATGCTATATCATGATAAATGTCGGTTTTTTAATGTAAAATAAAATACCTCCATTTTCGTGATTAAGTCCTTGGCTGTGTCGCCTAACACCACTATGTTTCTTGCTGAATCGTCGATGAAGCCTTCCTCCACTCCCTTGTCGAACAATGCAAGCAGCCCATCATAATAGCCATCCACGTTTAACAGCCCAACCTGTTCATACATTTAAAAAAACACGATAGATATATATAGGAAATGGTTTTGGATAAATGGTTGTGGAGTTGTGTGAACGAGAAGGAAAACGTACTGGCTTTTCATGGATTCCCAATTGAGACCAGGTTATCACTTCGAGCAATTCCTCCATGGTCCCGTAACCGCCTAGGCCATGAAACGTTGCGTTTAGAGAGAGTGGATAGCGACTTTTGAAGGGAAAGACAAAAAGTTTCGTTCTTTTTCATTCCTTGTGTTGTTTAATGGGAAGCTTACCAGGAAGTGCGATGAAAGCATCAGCGTTTCTCTCCATTTCTGACTTTCTCTGGTGCATGTCCGTCACTACTTTTAGATCCCCCACGGTTTCTCCAGATATCTGTAGACGTTTTACAACCGTAAGTTTGATGTCAAGGGCGAAATATTATTAATATTATTGAAGTTCTTTGATAAGAATGGATGGAATAGTACCTCATGTGGCAAGAGGGCCTTAGGGATTACTCTAGTTAAAACGACGAAAAAAAAGGAAAATTTGAATTCATGAAGTTTCGTTCATAAAGAAATTTCAATTAGAAGGGTAGAAAAAATATAGTGATGATGAAGCATACCCTAGAACATGACACCCTCCATCAAAGACGGTTTTAGAGACTAAACCCATCAACCCAACGCTTCCTCCACCGTAAACCAGGTCAATCTTTCGTTCAACCTGTGAATGGAAAGACAAAAGGACGAAAGTAAAGGAAAGTGGAAACCGGAAAGCCCAGTTTGGAACACTTTTCCCGGAAATATTACCAGTTCTTTACCAAGCTGAAGAGCTGCATCACTGAACGACGATCTATAACCAGTCCTACTACCACAGAAAACACAAATTCTCTTAAACCTTCGCTTCTTTTCATCGCTGTTAGATGCCTGATGATGATCTCCCGGTTCTCCCCCCATTCTTCGAGCAAAGAGTATTTAATTTCTTTCTATTTTCGCTTATTTTTACTGGGGGTGGATGAGGAATGGTGAGGGAAACAAGAACAAGAAAGATGTGAAGGCTGTGTACTTTAAACGAACAAAAGCCAAACTACTTTTTGATGCTATATACTCATTTGTCATGGACAATCTATATTGTCTGGTTAAACATGTAGCTTCTAGTGTTAGTAAAAGGCCCAGCATGGATCAACAAATCTACAGCCCATTTCTATCTGCAGTAGAACTCTATCAAGCGTTGCTATTCGCTAACCAGACACCTTAGAAGGGATTAGTATAACGCAATGATACTAACTGTCTAATAAACTATACAATGTTATCAAGAAATGGTCCCATGTGCCTCTCATACATGACAAGATACGAAATTTCTAATATTTCTGGGGAAATGTAAAAGAAAAGGCCATAACCAACACTTAAACTTTCCTTTACTCCCCATCCACATATTCATTCATCATTAACACACCCCACCACCAAAGAAAAAGCAAAAATTCATTCTTGGTGCTATAAGCTCCACAAAATTGATGGTACCTTGCCTGCACACTCCCCCACACAAATGAAGTTATCCCATTGAAAGGGAGGCATGATATGAATACCACCCAATTTTAACCATGAGAAAAACTCAGTTGTCATAGTCACATCCAATCTGAGCTCAGGCTCAGCTTAAGCCTATCCCCAATTCACACCTCACTCAACTCAAACTATACTCAACAACTTCAAGCATGGGGCAACCCCAGCAAAGTTAGTAACCACAAGATTACAAGTTCAACTCGGGCACGACCTATTAGGCTTCTGGGTTTGAGGGTTTGAGACAGTCAGTTATGAGCAACATAGGCTGGTTTACCGCAACATAGGCTGGTTTACCTTCTTGTGATTGTCTAAGATTTACCCGGGTGCACACCCTTAGTAGTGATTACGAGTTTTCCTCGACACCCAAAAAACAACTTCAAGCATGGCACCCAATAATTCATTTTCAGACTTGAGCCTACTGAGGAGAACTTCAACTGAGTTCTTACAGCCATTCCCTAGAGCTTCACTACAGTAAAGATCACATTTTTACCAACTTAGACACCCCAATTTTGCAGCAGAATGTAGCATACATCAGAGAATAGAGTTCAATATTTTGCGGGTGGATAAAAAAAGAAAAAAGAAAAAAGAAACAAACAATCATATCATACGAGGTAAACAAAAAGTGTAAACAATGGTAATAACAAGCAATTATACCCTCTCTCATGCCATCCGACAAAAAAACAGCGAGCAAAACAGTATGGACCCCATTTCGAAGGACATTTAGGCTCATGATAAACGCTAACATTCGAGACCAAAGATTTTTGTCCATCAAATTCTGCTTCCCATTGACCTTCCTTAATCATTGGTTTCTCTTTCTTTTAATCCGCCCAGAGAAATAATTTCGTGAAATTAAGCATACTGAACTGAAGTCTGAAAATCAGAAATAAGTCGGGCGTTTTTACCCACGTTTTGGGCCTTTAATCTCTCGGATTCTTTAGCCCAATATTGTACAATGGCCCAATTTTTGTTAACAATGAATTTATTCGGAAAAATTACACTTATAATGTATCTTTTTTTTTTTTTTAATGTTTCTGGCCCTATTACATTGTAGTATGTGTTCATATACTTTTTCAACCTACTGAAACACAAAGAACCAATAACGCCTCTACTGAGGCTCGAACTCGTAACCTTCTAAATGGAAGTCCAACCCGGGTACCATTAGACCATATAGTCTTGGTCATTTATAATGTATCTAAATTAACACTATTTCACATATTTGAGTGTATATTGTCCAACGAAACTGTAGTTGTGTTGAAATGAAACTGCAGTGTATATTTGATGTCTGAACCACTACAGTTGAAATGAAAAGTGTATATTTGATGTCTGAACCACTACAGTTGAAATGAAACTGCACCCCTACTGGGGATTGAACCTATAACGTTTTAATTTGGGAGAGTCACTTCGTGCCACTAGACAACAAGGTCATTCACAAAGAACCATTCACACTCAAAAAAATTACTTGAGACAAACACTTTTTTTTTTTCTTTATGGGAAATAATCTATAATCAATTACATATACCAGGCATAATTTGAAGTACATGTATAAATGTGTGTTATGTGCAAAGAATTAAAATATTGTGAAGTCTTATTTAACCACAACTAGGGAAAACATGCCCTTTAATTGCATACTTAACATTATAACATTGTGCTTTAACAACTCCTTTATCTTCTTCACCTATTAAGTTCACATTTTCCAGCAAAATCCCTTTACATGGAACCGTTTTGCTGCACTCAAACCTTATGGCCAACTCCCTTGCACTTGTTCCTCTAATGTTTCTATATATCACATTGCTCACTCCCACCGCTCCGACCTGTCCAACGCCAAATAAAAACATCACGTCAAACTTTATTATATGTTTTCAAAGACATAATGCTAATTCCACTTTTAGTCATACGTCTTTAATGGTGCGACCAGTTTTAATTTAATTCTCAGCTATAAAAATGATGGCCAATCACGCTAAATAAAAACATCACGTCAAACTTTGAATGTTTTCAAAGTTAAGACGTGCTAATTTCACTTTTGATCGTCTGTTAGTGGTGTGGCCAGTTTTAATCCTCAACTATATCAAAATGATGGCCAATATTAGTCCTCCAACTATTTCTTCTTGACACTTTCAACAAGTTTCATTTAGGGACGGGGACAAATTTGTAATTTCTCACATCCCATCCATGATTTAGTTTATGTATTTTGTAGTTGTATAAAGCAAGGGAAATCCTAATTTATTTTCATCTCACCAATTTGTAGTGGTGAAGATCATGAGGACCTTTTTGATGAAGAGAGTTTAAATTAAGATTTTGTTTAAGTTTATACAACTACGAAATGTATAAAGTTGATTGATTGTTAAGAAATTACAAATTTATCCTCATTAGTCATTTCTCACCGATATTTGCCGATAGTTATGACGGAAGATCAAAAGTGACAAAAACAGAACAGTCAGGAGAGTAATATTGATGATACGCAATATATTTCAGCTAGTATATAATTATATATCATTGTATCATCAGACCTAAGCCATCATAAAAGAAGCTTAAAGAATGAATTATATTTCTTAGTTTCTTACCTGCTCGGGACAAGGCAGAATGTTGCCATAATTGTCTCTAGGATTATCGCAGTAGAACTGATCTATGATTATGGGATTTGTTACATTCTTCATTACAATGTTGTCGAACAAGATGTTCCTTGCATATCCCCTTCCTCCCTTTACAAAATTTTTTAAAAAAATTAAAAATTAAAAATTGTAATTAAATCAACACATTTTATAAGTTACCAACAAGTTGAAATAACAAGGGTCACGGAAAGCTCAATGTTTTTCGCGACCTCAGCATACGCGACCCTTGTATAAGGGTCACGAGAGGCCTGTTTTGTAATAGTCAAACTGGTAAAATTCACACGACATCACATCAGCAATTATACTGTGGACCATGGTCCAAAACGGTAGACACTATACTGCATCTAAATTGACACTGTCTTATGTATTATTTTTTTTTTATCATATTATCAAATGAAAGTGCAATTGAATTGAATTGAAATGAAATTGTAGTTGTGTTGAAATAAAACCGCAGTGTATACAAAATGAAAGTGAATAACAATTTCATATATTTGAGTGTATATTGTCCAACAAAACTATAGTTATATTGTCTAAATGAATAAAAGTAAAGTACAAATTAACTTCATCTCATTAGGGTGGCATTGAAGCTATGCTATTCATGTGAATAATTATATAATTCTAAGGATGTTTTTTTCGATGTTGTAAAATGTTGTATGTGAACCACCTTGCACGACACTCAATGGGTTATACTGAGAAGAAACACAATTTGGCTGGAACATGCAGCTGATGTTATGTATGTCCACTTTCTTCCTTCAATTAATTTCCACAAATTTACATATTTTAAATGTATTTTTCATAATTTATTTATATTTTCTAATTAACTACTCGTGAATTATTAGTTGATTCAACCACAAATTAATATTAAATTCTTAATTTAAACTACAAAATTTAAATATTAATCTAGTACTTAAATCTTTAACTCTTCCTAACTTCATCTACATAAATAAATAAATATATATACCGGGACGGGACACGGTAGGAAGGGTATCTCCATTCCTTGAATTTGGGTCCCTGCCCCGTCCCCGTTCCTATTGCAGAGAGGATTGAGGAGAAATTGTCATCCATATTAACAAAAAGAACTTATTACAGTATCAAATGAGAACATGATCCTCTTGTAAAAAGTGATGATTAATCTCAACCGTCTATCATATATAGATCATCAATGGGTGAAAACTTTTAAGTTTATATTTATAAAAAGAACTCCACATCCCCCCTTGTTTTTTAGGCTTCTAGCAACCCTCGAACGTTAATATACCTAGATGCATTGATGAATCAGACTAATTCTCACTTTTTACATGGAATATGTTCTCATCTAAACACACACACGCAGTATATAGTGAAAATTGTTATAACATTATAGGTTACAATAATATGTGCGTTGTAAAATTATATCTTGTGCTTTGCAAGTTAATACTTTCTCCTTGTGTACCTCTAACAAAGTACAAAATACAATTTTATAAAACATACAACACTATATTATAACTTATAATATTATAAAATTTGTTTTTTATTCTGACCTGCCAAGTTTTGATTCTGACTCCATTAGTAGTTCCTTTGAACACCACTGTGTCCACAATGATATTTGTAACGTGTTCCTCTAAATTGTCCATTTTCCCTAAGCTTCCTATACTGCAAAAGAACATTAAAAAAAAAATTAAAAAATTGTCTTCATAATTAATTTAATTTGTAGAAAAAAAAAAGAGTCAAGAATTCTCCATCACCTAATTCCATGTCCCGGTCCACATACTATACGTGATATTCTAACATTATTTGATTCGTTCACTATTGAAATACAATCATCGCCTAGCAAAATCAACTGCAACGAGTTAAAAATGCTTATAGTAACCAATAAAGCTTAAAATACAAGGTTAGAATATTTTTGAATTTACCTGTAGCAATCACGGAATTTGTAATCTCGACGTCTGTAGTATGTGATATGTGAATTCCATCAGTATTGGGACTGTCCTCGGGAGCTTGTATAACAATATTTGAAACCCTAACACTATGACATTCTTGAAAAACAAGGTGCATTTTCTGCGGATTTTTGAATAATAAGTCTTCTACACTTATATTTGTCCCATTTTGGAATGTGACTGCCTGGAAAAAAAATAATTTGAACATATATATTTGGTTAGCCCTTTTCAATCTAGATGGTCGAAATTCAATTATTAATTAAAAAGAGAAAAATAAAAACTCACATATGGTATATCGCCTCTATCGCAAATCTGCAAAAAAATAATAATAATAAAAAAAATCAATTGGTCAATGATTTTAGCCAAGATAATTATATATAGTAGAAGGCTATACTCTTATAAACCTTTTATCTCAATTCCCTACCCTGAACCCTATTCCCCACCTCGATATCACCTTAATTGCCCATCTTCAAGAGTATAGTGGTTTTGGCACGTTTAGTCCTAAATTTTTAAATTGATCATCTGTGGTCCTTCGACTTTCAAATTTAACCATTTGTGATCCAAGTTAACCACTCATGGCTATTCAACTATTAAAATTTAACCAACCATAGTCCTTTCAAGAGATCACATCTGGTTAAATTTCTAAAGTTGAAGGACCATGTTAACTTGGACCAGTCCAAGGACCACATATGACTAATTTAAAAGTTTAGGACTAAGCTAAACGTGTCAAAACCGTACCACTATACTCAGAGGATCCCATGTGGCATAAAATGTCAATAGAACGATGAACCAACCTCACTTTTTTGGACCTTGCAAGAGTCCTTCCACCATTTTTGGCCATTGCCATCTATGACTCCTCCACCATCAACCATGAAATTTTTCAAGTCACTGAACTTGAGCCAACGTTGTCTGTCACTTTTGTAGTCATTTTTATTCCCAGAAGCTTTGATCGTTCCGTGTATCTAATGAAGAATGCCAATTAATCAAAACCCAAAAAATATATTAATCAAATAATTTATTAAGAGGTTGAAATTAATTACTAGTTTAGGTAACTGGAAAACCTTAACTCACCCTAAGTTTAAGGTTTGGATAACAGGGGCCACTAAAGTGTGTTGGACTAAGCAAATATGTCTTCCTATTAGGGATTACAAGCATGGATCCTCGTGAGTTACAAAACTTGTTCCAAGCTTTCTTAAACGCCTGAAAAAAAAAATCAACAAGAAAATATTAAAACTAATTAGCATTATATATTATATATATACATTTCAGAAATGACAGTCACTACCCGAAACTATATACTTTCTGTGACTGCGGATTTTTCTAACCATGGAACATATATACCTCGGAATCATCGGTGGTTCCATCACCCTTGGCGCCAAAATCATCTACACTCAACACTTTCTGATGAGGCTGTTTCCTGCCTTTCAAATGCTTATTATGTGTGTGACCACCTTTGTGGTGTTTCCTGTAGCGGCAGCGGTGGCGGTGGTGGCGGTGGCACGAAGTCCGAGTGTGAAGGAGGCTGCCGCCGTCGCATGAGGCAGAAAATAACGACAGTGCGAAGAATATGACCAGTACGAGGTTTCTTGTCGTCGGAGGCATTTTAGTACGAAGCTCTATAATAGTTATTGCCTGAAAGAGAGACACAATATGTATAACCAACCAAATTGTGAGTGGGAAGGGTTTGTCTAAATATGGTGATGACAATAATTTGAGGATATATATATATGTATTTATAGTGCAAGATTAGAGAAGTTAATTGCTTCAAGTCAAAAAAGGGGAGAAGTGTCTCTAGAGAAGCAAAAAGGAGTGACGATTCCATAGACCTCGTACACTAGTGACATAAGATTCTGTAGGTTCAAATCTCTGAATCCAAACTAAATATGTAATATTATATGATCCCTAAATCTCACATTTAATTTCCTTATGTAATCTTATTAGCTAAGGTAACCTCACCTTTCGTGAACAAAACCTAAAATATAAAACAAGGTAATATTATATATTCTCAAATCCAAACCAAACATATACAGTAATCTTATGTTATCAAAATCCCACATTACATGCATTTCAAAAAATAATTTTATTAACTAAGGTAATCTCACCTTTCATGAACCAATTAAGCGCCCACTTAAGCTGATAGTTGGTATGTATATGCAATGCTCAAAATGCCGGCGGATTATTTGTTGACTAGCTCTTAACAACACATGGATCGTAGTCCCTTTCTATTCTATCGTTGATCTGTGTTTCTTCTCAGTCAAAAATTTAGACTGATAGTTAAACCCTGGCCTAAATTTAGATTTAAATTTAAATTTTTATATATATGATGTTGAAGATAGTGAAGAATTTTGTTGCGCAGTCTTCAACCAGACTTGGTCCAACAAACCCCTCCTCCATCCACTCCCCAACCCTAACAAACAAAAAAGAGTCAACCGAAAAAAGTTCATAGGTCGGCACAATCCACATGACCGGTTAGGAAGAGAGGCATTTGGTGAAATAATATAATACTAAGTGGAAAATTGGGTGACCAAGTTGGGGAAGTTAGCAGCGTTTTAGGTTGCTTTTGACCGACCAAGTTGATGATGATGAGTATTGCAAGAAAAAGGTTAAAGTAACCCCTTTGTGGGATATATAGTTCGATTTTCATAAGTAATGATTCTCCTTGAATCAATTCATGTGCCTCCCGGAGCGAACCGGAATTAATTAGATGGATCTGGACAGTTAAACAGACAGAAAAGAAACTCAGACCACCTCGTGGTTTAAAAAGAAAAAAAAGGTTAAGGTAAGGTAAGGTGGGTTTTTAATTTGACTTGCCGTGGTGTATGTGTTTGGGCATAAATCATCATAAACGAACGTAGCGTACGTCGCTGGTTTCTAGGGATGGTTTTGGAGAATTAATGTTTGGTTTTAACTTTTATTGGGGTGAGGGGGGGGGGGGGGGGGGGTTCCTTGTTTCTATCCTCATAGTGGAATTGAAGCAAAATTGCCCAAACACTTCATTCACTGTTACATCATTTCCCTTTTACACCATACCTACCTAGCTAGCTAACAATGTGTATGCAATCATGCACTATATATGATGTAGTGTTGTTTGTTCAAGGAATCGGAATAATCATGCACTATATATGATGTAGTGTTGTTTGTTCAAGGAATCGGAATCAAATAATTAGTAATTAGAGTATGCATGTTTTAGTAAAGAGAAATTTTCAATTTTGGTCATATGACTATAGGGGTTTTGTTAATTTCAGCACCTGACTTTCAAAAGTGTCAATTTAGTACCTTGAGTATGTAATTTTTGTCAATTTTGGTCACTCCGGTCAAATTTGACCGAAAAACCTTAATCCAACATTTAGTCTATAATCTAAGGGACAAAATGGTCTATTGATCCTTTCTCTTAATTAGTGTTGACCTGGGCATTTCTCAGCACCCAAACCGCGTCGTCGTTAGCCTTGGCCTCGCTCCCAATCCGTTCAATCAGTCTATCCATGGCGGCGCTTCTAGCGAACTCCTTCAATCAGGCCGAGCTAAGCATGTTCTGAACCATTTTCTTCCTCAGGGAGCGCCACACCGGACCGTAAACCACCGCGTTCACGGAGAACTTGTTGCTGCTGAAAAGGGTTCAAAATACCATACCACGAATCATACAATAATATTGTAAATTGAATATATAATATTAATGTTCAATGGGCTAACTTTTATATAACGCATTATTAACTCACTTCAACGTATTTATGACTATTTTCAGGTACGAGTCAAAATTAAATTAAATATAATATTAATGCGTAATGGCCTTCAACCAAAACATATATTCAAGTAATAATTATAAATTCTTACGCAAACCAAAATTTCAAGTGCGAGTCAAAATTTAATTCGTTGAAATTGGGTAATAGTATTAAGTGCATGGGTTGAATATATTAAAATGTAAGGTAAATATCACGTCCCGCGATGATTAGCAAAATGACAGTTTTGATCTATATATTTAACTTCTCTCAATTTTTATTAACAATTATTATTTTATTATCAATTTTCATCTATGACTATTATTTTAGTGCCAAAGTTCATCACGTCGGTCACCCCTTCGTTATTTAAGACATGTCGAAATATGAAATTATGAAAGGTATTTTCGTCATTTTCAAATTAAGATCCCAATTTGAGCATGGATAAAGGAATTTAAGCCCTAAGTTCAATACCAATTCACAATTCTCCTCCTCAAGTTAAAGTAGGACGATGAGGAGAATTGTGAATTGAGGGTGTGTTTGGTTCGCACACAGGAATCAGAATCGGAATGGGCATCAAATACTTGGTAATGGTAATGATAATGGATTTTGGTGAAAGTATTTAACATGTTTGGTAGTAGGGTGGAATGGGAATGGTTACTAATAGTAGTGTTTGAGAATGAATAAGGGAATGAAACCCTTAATTGTATTTGGGTATGAGTTTTTCAATTAATGGGGTATTCGAAACTCATAGTAGTGTTCTAAAAACCTATCAACCAAACAACAATAATCACTTTCATCCCATTCCTATGGGCAAAATCCACCAACCAAACACACCCTGAGATTGATCTTAGAACTTAAATCTCTTCATTCATGCTTAAATTGGGCTCTGAAGTTAAAAATAACAAAAATACCCTTAAAATTTGTAGATTTCGGCATGTTTTGAACGGAGGGGTGATCGACATGATGAATTTTGGCACTAAAAAAATAGTCATGAATGAAAATTGGTACTAAAATATAATCGTGGATAAAAATTGAAATTAAACATGTAAACCAAAACTGTCATTTTGTTAAACATGTAGACCAAAATTGATATTTGCTATCTCTATAAACATATAATTGTCAAATTATATCGTGCATCCAATGTTCAGCTTACACATGCACTTTAATGCATGTTCATTTTTGTGAACTAAATGTTTATTATATGTTGATTTAGGTTTATTTTTGGTGTATCAAAAATTAAGTTGAATTTATAAATCTATAATACACTAAAAATAAATCTATAGTATACCAAAAAATAATATGTATTAAAGGACCATTTTGCTATGTAGACCCTGGTCTATTGTATAATCAAATATGACAAAAATACAAAAGTCATGTATTAAATATGACAAAAATAATATGTAATAACCAACTGTGAAAAATAACCTAATACGGAGTATTTGTTAGAACAAAATTCAATTGAATTGTATATAGGTATATCAACCGGACTAGCCAACTTGGTTTCAGGTTGCATTGTTAGAACAAGGTTAATAGTGATTTTTTTTTTTTTTTTTTTTTTTTTTTTGTTGCAATTCTTTTCAGGCCAAGTATGAGGAAGAAAACAGAGGAAAAAAAGTGAAAAAAAAAAACAAACAATTAGTTCATAAAACTTGCAAGTTTACGTGCTTGACTGGACGCATCTGTGCACATAATGTGCCCACCAGAATGGTTTGTTATTGTTCTTGTTTTTTGTTTTATTTTTTTTAGTGGATCCCACAAAAAAAAACTTTCATTTTGTCAAGATCCTCACCTCTCTCTCATCTCCTCTCGTTCATCCACCTCAACATTGATCACACAAAAAACTTACCAAAATTCATTGGTGGTGAATTGGTGATGCTCTTAGACATATTAATTTTGAGCCTATCGGGCTAAACATATTGCTTCAAGTCATAGATGACAAAAGTAGCAAAAAAGATGAAAGTCGCGCACTAAATATGACAAAAATAATATTTGGTCCTGGATGAAATGCTAGAGTGGGGGAACATATTTTCATATCTAGAGGGTCTCAATTTTGATTTTTTGCCAATATGCACTAAAAGGGGTGCTCGGGTGGGTGAGGCACAATTATTGTATTATAAAGTTACAAGTTTATTTTATCAATACTCTCTTGGTCGAGCTTGTCGCACAAGGTCTTCACAGTATGATGTATCTCTCTTGTATTAGTTATGAGTTGACTATTACAAAAGTTACATAGTACAATCCCAGATAATCCATAATAATCAGCGAATAAATGAGTCTAACAATCGTGAAAAAAAAAAAAAAAGAAAAAAAACTTTAACTTATATATAATACACATCCTATTGCAAGTTAAGTTCAAACCAACTTTACAACCAACTAACAATCATGAAATAGAAATGAAGTCGGTAGTACGTTGTTAGGGTCTATAATATAATCCGGCAAAGTTATAAACCTAAGTTAATAGAAAAAAGAAAAAATTTAAGGGGGTTATTGGGCCGAGTCTGAGCCTCTTAATGGGCTACTCATACAGTCATAGAGCTTTGAAAATGAAATGTTTGATATGGTTAAGAATGTGCTAAAATCGATGGAGAAGAATATTCTTCAAAGCTGTAATGGCAACAGATTCGGCGGGGAGTCCAAAGTTAGCCGGCACTGGTCGGCAATTTTGTACCGTGGATCAGAGTCCACAATGAATTATAAAGTCTGATCTAATACATTGAATTTAACTTTATAAGATACAAAATTTATGTTTATAATACATATATATATAAACACGATATAATAAATATAAATTTTATGTATTATGTTAATTGTTGATGTGTCCTCAGTTATATAATACACTGAATTTATGTTTATAATGTACATAATTTATGTTCATTATATCGTGTTTATGTGTATGTGTATTATGAACATGAATTATGTGCATTATGAAAATGAATTCTGTGTATTGAACCAGGATTTTCAGTGTACTGCAGACCTTGGTCCACGATATAACGATGGGTTCACCAACAATCATTATTGTGTGGATTATTATAGTTCATAAAGTTGTATAAATTATATTCAGTACACAAATAATGTATTTTAATATATTAAAAATGTACGTTATATTCAGAAAATGTACATTTAATACACAAATAATATTTTTTTAATATATTAAAAATGTATTTTTTTTTTTGTTATGAGTTACAAATTCCGTTCACAAATTTAGTTACGGAAGTGCGACAACCGATATCCACAAAGGAAACGCTGTCCTCTCCTTCACCAGACACGAGTCGTTACTCACTCACTACTCACTACCTTCACTGTGCAGAGAGAGAGAGAGAGAGAGAGAGAGAGATGGGGAGGAACGAAGAGAATGGAGTGGAGAGAGTGAAGGGAGGTGTGGTGGTGGTGAAGCCAACGCCGCAGAGTGGTATCGCCGCCAAGGCCATAGATTGGTTGGAGTGGGCGATCGTGAAGGTGATGCATGATTCTTCCAAACCGCTTCACTATCTTTCTGGTAATTTCGCTCCAGCTCCTGAAGAAACCCCTCCTTGCAAGGATCTTCCTGTCTCTGGCCACCTCCCTGTAAGTTTCTTCGAGTTATTTTTTATATTTTAATCTCTTATTTCATATTGAAATTCTAGAAATTGAACGAGTTCCTTTGCTTAAATGAGTGGTGTTCAAGTTTTAGTGCACTCACAGATAGATACAGGCAGTGGAGAGTATATATAGTTGTGATGGATGAGGCAGGAAGTGAATACTTGGCACTGAAAATTTATAATTCCTGTTCTGTTGACAATATTGAAGAAGAATTATTAGAATACAAGAAATGGAAATGTTTATTGATAAACAAGGCGCCTATTGAGGCTTTCCCTTATGATAATGACAACATATATATGATATAGTATATTGTGTTGTGAAATAATACTCCATAATGATTAGGAGGATATATCAACAAAATGCTTCCTATGATATAGGGAATTCGTTGTGCAGATGTTAATGCTGAAGTAACAATGTGGCTAATTCAATTACAAGGAATTACTCCTTATTAAATAGATACAGGGAAAACTATTAAACAACAGTACTTGATAAGTGGGTATCGAGATGGAAATCTGATTCATTGTGCGTCCTCTTAGTCCATGCACTCGAACCTTATTCAAGTGTTGTAGAGTCTTTTCTTCTTAGTGGTATGTTCATAGCTATTTAATGATATGAAGAATCTGAAACATATGATAAGCTCTGCTACCAGGAGAAAGGTTGGGCCATGCTTCCTAACTTATGAATAATATATGATATTGTTGGCATTGCAGGAATGCCTAAATGGTGAGTTTGTCAGGGTCGGTCCGAATCCAAAATTTGCTCCAGTGGCCGGGTATCATTGGTATGTCATTTTGTGTCCAGTATAAAATCAATAGGAGTTTTCTTAACCTATGGTTCCCTTGCCTTCACCTAAAATGAGTGCACTCATAGGAAGTTGGTTAATAATTTTTTCGGAACATTCTTGACTTCACTTTTTCAGCAATTTAGCTTTAGTAATGGTGAAACTATTGTCTAATTTCTGGCATTTGCTATTTTTATTTTTCTGAACAATAAAACTTCCAACTTTCTTATTGTGGGTCAGTGAAGCTTATCCTTATTTTTCTTCTTTCCAGGTTTGATGGAGATGGGTGTGTTGATTTCTTTACCTCTCTTCCCTCTTTAAACTACATGTTTTCTCATTTCAAATTATATATGGTCTGCAAATAACTTACTTGTTATGTAGAATGATTCATGGCTTGCGCATTAAAGATGGAAAAGCAACATATGTCTCTCGTTTTGTGACGACATCACGTCTTAAGCAAGAACAGTTTTTTGGAGGAGCTAAGTTTATGAAGGTGTGTTTTGAATTATATCTTTCTTTTTGAATGTAGATTGGCCTAAAATTTTATCTACCTGTAAGTTGCTTGGCTTTCAACACTATGAAGTGAGCTAATGGCAATAATCTATGTAGTAAGGAAAATACTTGGTGGAATTCCATTTTCTACTCCCTCTCACAAGTTTTTGATGTCGACACTTTTCCCGAGACCCACATGATGAAAATAGCCTATCTTTATTTGCCGCATCATGGAGTAAAAGTGAGAGTAGAATTTGGGAGTACGTATAGTATAACTCATGTAGTAATCATTCATCTGTGTTGTATATTTTAGACATTGTTGCATAATTTGCAGATTGGAGATCTTAAAGGGTTGTTCGGATTGCTTACGGTTTTCATTCAAACATTAAGAACAAAGCTCAAAGTATTAGATATTTCCTATGGAACAAGCACTGGTAGGTGAATCATGGATTCATGGTTTTCTACTAGTGACAATATGGCTCTTCTTCAATTTTGTAACTGCCAAAACATTTGATTGAGATAAACACACCAATTGATAGAATAGTTCATCTAATTTTATATCTCCATGCAAAAATTTCTAAGAGTAAATATAATTCTCTTTCTTCCAGCCAATACAGCTTTAATCTATCACCATGGGAAGCTTTTGGCACTTTCAGAGGCTGATAAACCATGTATGGCATATCTCTCTTCTTTAAGTCCCATATGATAAATATGCTATCAATCGTCTGAACCTTTGTTTATTTCTGATATATCTATTTGAGGCTTGTACATGCCATCTGGTTCAATTAGTTCTATCTTTCTTTAGTTTACGTCTTGTGGACATGATTAATAATTATGAATCCACTAGGGGCATGGATTTGGGTTTCTTGCTATTTTTTAGTGCAATGGTACTAAGATAATTTTTATCGATAAATTTGCTTGTCATAATACTTAAATCTTTTTAGCCTCATACTCTGCACAGATGTAGTTAAAGTTTTGGAGGATGGAGATCTACAAACTCTTGGCATGCTGGATTATGACAAAAGATTGTCACATTCCTTCACTGCTCATCCAAAGGTTGACCCAGTGACTGGTAAGAGAAAGATATGTAATTTCACATAATATGCTTTGGGAATAAAATGGTATTGAATTAGTTATCTAACTAATATGTTTTTATTTAAAGCATCCATGAATTTCTCTCATCACCCTCTCTCCTAATCGGGTGTGGTTATCGCCCTAGCTCTTTTCTGGTTTCCCTTTACATCTGCTGCAGAGGCCATTCAATTTCCTTCTCATTTAGCCACTCCCAACAAGCTACCTTCTCTTCTAATTACTCCCTCTGTCCCTAAAAAATTGTCTGTTTCCATATGTACAATAACATTTATAGTTTCATTATCCTAAAACCCTAAATAGCCTACGTTTATTATGAGAAAAAATATAAATATATCACTTAGTCAGTACATTGAATATACTTTTCTAAATATGTGTGTCTAGTCAAAGGGGACAATACTTTCAGGACAGAGGGTAATTAATAATCTAAGAACCCCCGTTAATATCCTCCATAGTCCCGCTAACGGACTAACCCAATATGAACATCTTGCAATAACACTTTTAAAAATTTCTTCAAGTAAAGCTCTTGCAATATTATCTAACAAACATTTGACCCCCAGTTCTTTTTATGGCATAATGTTTATTCTGACTTGGTAATATTTGCATACAGGGGAGATGTTTACGTTTGGCTATTCTCATACACCACCTTATGTCACATACAGAGTTGTATCTAAGGATGGTATAATGCATGACCCAGTTCCAATTACAGTACCAGAACCAATCATGATGCATGATTTTGCAATTACTGAAAATTATGCGATTTTCATGGATCTCCCTCTGTATTTCAGACCAAAGGTCTAGTACTCATCCAATTTGAACTTTACCTAGTGTAATTATAGATGAGATGAGCATCAGTTATTTAATTAAACTGAAATGATTTTTATTGCTCCATGATGAGATAATGTGACACAAAACTCATGAGAAATAGTCTGTTACCTTAAATTCTATAAGTCCCTGTAGATATGTGATTAAAACTCATTTAAGAAATCAATGCAGAGAATCTCTATGATTTGGATAATGTTTTCTGTGGGATTCAAGTAGTGTTACATTTTGAAGCATCTGTTCTCTTTAACATCTTATTGCAACCTGTATAGAGGCTTCAAACTCCCTGCTTTCCTGTTCTTAGCTATGTTACAAATAGTGTTTTTATTGCTTGCCAATCTGCACCCAGTGGTCAAATCTTGGCATTCTTGGGTCACTGATTTTTTAATTTTATTTTTCAGGAAATGGTTAAAAACAAAGAGTTCGTATTCAAATTCGACAGTACAAAAAAGGCTCGCTTTGGAGTCCTTCCACGCTATGCAAAGAATGAACTGGCTATCCAATGGTTTGAGCTTCCTAACTGCTTCATATTTCACAATGGTGAGTTCTGGGATCACTTGTTCTACTAATATCGGTATACATTTATATGTTAGACATTAAAAAAGGTTGTTATCTGATTGATAATCTTGAAGAAAGTAATTTTGACACTTTAACAAGCTTGTTTGACACAAGTTTAGGTTACCTGGAAGTTTCAACCATGTTTTAGTTTTGCCTGGTTTTTCAAACTAGATATGACTAGAGATCGTAACTATTATTTCCAGAGCAACACTGTAATTCTAGCTCATACTTCAACAGGGACGCAATTAGTAGACAAAATACGAGGACTTGTTTATGCTTTTCACAATAGATAAAAGATTACAAAAAAATATTTCTAACTCATGAGTTGCACTTATTCAATAGAGCATTGAGAAGTGCTTTCCTTCAAGTTCAGCACAACCATTTGGTATCTTCTCTAAAAAACAAGCAACAAAATGAATAAAAGAAATCATCTATCCAGTGGATTGATGCTGTTCAAGCAGTGGGAATTATTTTCAAGCACTGAAACAGAAAAGAGTTACTCCCAAATCTCTGTTTTCCCCTTTTCCTCCTGTGTGTATTACACCTCTGCTGCGGTGAATAAGATATCTGGTTTTGTTTCTCACATATCTTGAGAAGATGATTTCAGAAATGTGGTTTTGTTTCTCACATATCTTGAGAAGATGATTTCAGAAATGTCTGTAGGAGCTTGCGGGCTCAGTAAACATTCCCACCTAATTCTCAATTGCATAGAAATAGAAATCTACAATCAGAATCTCCATTTTGGTATCTAGCTGTAAATGATAAAGAAAGAACAGTAAGGAGATGAAGTTTTTGCTGCTCCATACTAATCTGCAATTTTCATTCTGTATTAGGCATGACCGCATGAAAGATCCAGAAGTGTTATCAGTGCTTTAATCTTTCTTAGTGCAGTACTTACCTTCCTTTCTTTTCTGACTCCTTGTTAGCCAATGCATGGGAGGAGGGAGATGAAATTGTTTTGATCACATGCCGCCTTGAGAATCTAGATCTAGACATGGTTAATGGAACTGCCGAAGAAGCTCTTGAGAATTTTGCAAACGAGCTGTAGGGTTTCTGACATCTTGTGAACTCATTTATATCTTTGACTGGGTACTAAGGAATGATCCTGTTTATATTTTGTCAGGTATGAAATGAGATTTAACATGAAAAGCTATCTAGCAACACAGAAGAAATTATCCGAGTCTGCTGTCGATTTTCCACGGGTGAATGAGAATTACACTGGCAGGTGAGTTGTAATCAATCTACAATTTATTTACATAGATCATTACTGCTTAGGTAACAAAAACTTTAAGATACTGGGTAATGAATTGCCTTATTCATTCTACTGCTTATCTACTTCGTCTAACCTTCACCTTGGGCAACCTAATTAGTGTGTATGTGAAGAGCTCTTCCATTAACATAATAATATGTTCAGGAAACAAAGGTATGTATATGGGACCATATTAAACAGCATTGCAAAGGTCAAGGGGATCATCAAATTTGACTTGCATGCTGAACCAGAGACTGGAAAAACACAGCTTGAAGTTGGAGGAAATGTTCAGGGCATCTTTGACCTAGGACCTGGCAGATTTGGTTCTGAAGCTATCTTTGTTCCCCGTCAGCAAGGTACCGCTTGTGAAGAGGATGATGGCTACTTGATATTCTTTGTACACGATGAGAACACCGGGTACCTCCACTTCACCTTTACATTGCCTAGATGGTCTTAAGACCTAGTATTTTGTCTGTTTTACCTGTAGATTAACAAGTGACAACTAACAAGTGTGATGAAACATAAATTATTATCATCTTAACAAATTCATTCTCTGATAACTTCCACAGAAAATCAGGAGTGAATGTAATTGATGCAAAAACAATGTCAGCTGATCCCGTTGCAGTGGTTGATTTACCTAAAAGAGTTCCATATGGATTCCATGCCTTCTTTGTGACTGAGGTATGCATTTTATTATGTATATTGAAACACTTCAATTATTAGAATCCAAACAAGACTTGGGTCTTCTGCTTTCAACTTTAAGCTTCATAGCCTCATAGTTTGGGTTCATGCTCTTCTGCACAGGAACAACTTCAAACTCAAGCAGAAATTTGAGATCAAATGTTGGTGACTCAATCTAGTTAAAGCAAGCATAGAAGTGGTTGGGCAAGGTTTTCTTGTTAACTATAAATCTGTCAGCTACTCAGCTCAGCTGCAGTGACTGCTATATTGGTATCTATTTCTGTATATGAAATGCTCATTGTAAAGAACATATTCAACTTCCAACGCTTGTTTGACTAAATAATAGTGGTTATGAATAACAATATCAGCAACATTATCCTTGGAAACAAACCAAATCTAAGATTCTATGACTTAAAAACTATGAATGTTAATGTTAAAAATTGCTCTTCATAGAAAGGAAAACAGGAATTTGAGAAGAAAGAAGAGTATCCCTCAGTAAGCCTGATATCAACCTGGCAAAGAAGCCTTGGTCCCTCGACCTCTTGCAAGCAAGAGGGAGCACCGCACCATTGATGCACATGTTCAGATTACTAAATGTTTCATCAAAGGGATATTAAAAAAAAAAAAAAAAAAAATCATAATAAGAAACAAAGCCAACAACACCAAACCAATCTTGATAAAAATAAGGAACACGAAATCTCTTCAGACAAAGAACAGATCTATTCCAAAAAACAATGGTTCAAATACAAATTAGGGCAATTCTCGATGCACCCAGAAATACACAATCCAAGATGAAGAAAGAAGCCGAGAAGCATTGTTTCAATGGGGCTCTTTGCTGCAAATGAACCCTAATGTGGTTTTAGCGCCGCCCCGACAGTATATATAACCTTTTTCTTTTTCGATTTCTGCCCTAGTGTTTTCATTTATTTATAACTAAGGCACAAACTTTCTTAAAATTGATTTCCTTAAAAATACTAATGTAGCCCCTATCTTATTTATCTTCTTATCTTTTTTGTTTTCAATTTAAATTTATATTTTTAATATTTCAATCATTTTATTACTAGAGTAAATAAATCTATCCATTTTTAGCTAAATTATGGTGCTGAAATTTCTCGAATTAGGGCCAAGTGTGATATTGAACTGAAAGAAAAGTTCGTGGTAGAATAAATAAGAAATGAGTCTAGGCGTTGTGCAAGGCTAGAAATTTTGTACCACATTCTTTCATAATAATGATAGGAATTAAGAAGCGTAAGCTCATGGTTGCAAGTGGATTAACCAAAGGGAGAGCGTAGTGGGGATCATTAACATCTCGGTTAAGTGTCACAAACTGATGCAAAGACAATGTGTTAATCATATATACAGAGAGCAAAATAAGGTAGCTAATGCGATTGCTAAGATTTTCCTCTCAAGTGAGATCGGAGATAGTTCGTCGTCTTATCGGTATGATTGGTGCTGCTTTGAGTAGATAAGATGTCAGTCAGTCAGTCATTCTTTCTTATTTTGAAGAAAGACATGGAAACCAAAAATCAAAACAAAAGTATACATGAGTTGGCAAACAAGATTCACAACATCTCAAAAGACCACAAGTTTTGACACAGTTTGTTGTCTATAAGTTCAACACCACTATCTTTTTTGTGGTAAGCCAACCACAAAATAATCACACTACAACTTCTCAGTCTATATATCAGAGCATATATCTACAACACTGGGAAGAAGCAATAGAAACAAATGGCTGACCGACACAGCCCGAGTCTATTCGTTTCTACCCATCTTGCCCACATAGGTAAAACAAGCCAAGAATGAATTGCCAGACCCGTGTAAGAAGGGATGGATTGTCTTACCCCTCCATTACACAGGAACGAGTTTTCAATTGCTGGGTGGCGCACCGTGAGGAGCCTGGTTTCCCATAAAGCTCCAGTTTTGATGACCATGACGAAAACTTCCCTTTTCATTCCCGCTCGACTCTGTAAAATGCACCGATGGGAAGCCATGGCTGTCTGCTCTGCACATTTCTTTTACAGCAGACTGCCCTTCGCTGTTCGTACACAAATGCTCTGAACCCGATGAGTGGCCCGAGTTTGTTGTAGCAGTTGCACCAGATTGCGTATGCTCGTCTGTTTTCGAATTCATATCATTTAGCTTTTTTGTATTGAGAAATCGGCCCCCCGACCCCCTTTCCCTCCTCAGTGCATGTTGATGGCGAGATTCATGAAGATATGGCTGTTACATAAAAAAGACAACCCCACAAGTGTTACAATTTTATTAGATTTAATACCTCAAAAATACCAAAGGAAAAGGTTTCACAACATACTAGGAACAATAATTCCAGGTAACAAACAACTGAACAAGCATGAAATGGCAACATCAATCAGTGTGAAGAACAATACGGGTGTCAACTATTTTAATGTAGTACTTTGCATACAAATGTACTATTGTTCTTTTCCCTTTTTTTATTTACGGGAAATGCGCTATGGGTGGAGCCCGCCTTGCGACCCTAGGCAGCAAAGGACCATAACGAGGTAAACCAGCCTAGATTGCCCAAATTTACGCATAATATTTTCCCCTTTACTCAAAGCCAAAATTTACGCATCACCATCAAGTTACGGTGATAACAAAGAGGTAAACATAGTGAAAATCAGTGAATTTAAGCAATGCTACTACCACAAGCAGTTAAAAATTAAAGAAGAAAGTTACGCATTGAGATTTTTACCCGTCTGGCTTTGATGGCTTTCTTTTCAAGTTCTGCTTTAGCTCTAACCCGCCTTCGCCTTAAAATCCCATTATATTGTTTCGCGTTGACGTAGACAGGCTCCTCCTCCATTTCAAGAGGCAAAGGCATTCTAGCGTGATGAAGTCCAAACAGGTGAGATTGTACCTGAAAACATGCAGTAAATAAATGTGCGGATGTAAAAATTAATAACAAATAAAAAAATTCAAAATACCATAGAAGAGCATTCGTCCACTTAGATTATACAAAAGAGAAAAGTAAATAGACAACTTCTAATGATTGCCAACATAACCATATATCTGGCTTGTGAATGCCGTAATACAAAGTTATTTCCACTTTTGGTCCCACGACTATTGAATAATTTTCACATTTAGTCCCCGACTATTAATTTTACACCTTTGGTCCCACGACTTTTAAAACCTTGCCACATTTGGTTCTCCAGCCTAATTTCTGGTCACCAGTGACCAAATTTTTTAGTTGAAAAATGTCATAGAAAATGGCAACTTTGTTCTTTAAGATAAGTCCCTTAGACTATTATGCACTCATGTTCAATAACATAGAGATACAAATTTGGTATGGGTGACTATAAATTAGGCCAGAGGACCAAATGTCGCAAGGTTTTAGAAGTCGTGGGACCAAATGTGGAAACACTAATAGTGGGGGATCAATGTAGAAATGATCCAATAGTCGTGGGACTAAAAGTGGCGAAAACTCCCATAATAAGTTATCTTTCATTATATTGTTTCAAAGAAATCGGAAGAAAAAACACATCTACCAGACAGCACGAAAAGCCAAAGACAATGGATGTCTGGAGACCGAAGATGGGAAGAAGGGTTTGTGCTTACCGGTGAGCAGTAGCTAAACATTCCCCCATATTGCGGGTCTGCATACGGGTATGATGCCAACATCTTCAAAAAAACACGTTAATAAACTAGTGAGCTCCGAACGATAGATACTCTGTAACTTTGAAAGGATAACTTACAATTGAATGACCCACGAGTTCCATTTGGGAATTCGCTCCAAGCTGCTCACTCATAACAGCGGGGATCGAAGAGGCATGTTTGAGGTGCTGCTCGTCTTGACTATTACTTTCATTCAATCCTAGAAAGACCATCATTAGACATGAAAATCGAAGCTCATAACACCCTTATAGAAAATTACGTTCTGTACTGACGAAATATGGAAAGCGAGCAAGAAAGAAAGTACCAGATTGTGCAGTTGAATTCGTTTCTTTTTCTTTGTTACCACCCCCTTCGGCATTTCCCTGTGACTCGTTTGTTTCAAAGGAAATAGACCCGTTTGTTTCTTGCCCGAAGGTAGGCATACCATTGTCACCAAAACCGCGCCACCAAGGTTGCATGTAGACCGTTGATTATAAGATCCTCGGTAGTTCTGTCTCTAAGGGATGGCTTTCGTGCTTAATTATAGCAGGCACAACAAATTAAAGAGACTCTCGGAAATGACGAATGATCTAATCACAAGATTTACTGTGCAAGCTGCAAAAAGAACAAATTAAAACCTTGGAGAGCTGACAACTCAGATTCATTAAGGCCTTAGAGATTACTTCAAAAAACATTACAAAATCATTCATTAATTTCGACAAGAGAAACAAAAGACAGAAAACTGTACAGAAATCCCAGAATACTCCAGTAATCAGTTTCTGGAGAATATCCCTTTCTCACTTGGGAGATTCAGAGACCAAGAATCAATTTTAAAGGTCAATGGCTTACAATAAGTGAAGAATACTGACCAGAACCTTAAAAAACACAATTGTATACAGATTGATTCATTAAAAACCCTAAATTAAGTCCATAAACTAAATGATCAGATATATACATCCTCTTGCAAATTTCAGATAAACTTTCTCAAACGTTGAATATAAGATATATACTAAAGCATACAAATGAAGAACAGATTTACTAAAATTAAAGCAAAACACCAATAATTGTGTTCAATCTGCATATATTGATTAAATATCTGTCATCTCTTTTTGTCTTGGGCTGTTGTTGTAAACCAATTAAACCTCAAGAAAATAGGTTATAAATGAGAGAATCAAGAATACCCAATCAGAGAATCCCAATTGGGTATCCAATAATTCCAAATTCAGCAAAAAAAAAAAAAAAAGGAATTTTATATATGTCCAAAGAGACTTACCCTTTCATGTGGGGATAAGAGCAGTGAAAGAAGCCTCCTTTTGATGCCCTTGAAAGATTTTCAGAGCTCACAGAATCCCATTTGTCTATGCAAACTAAAATAAGTGGCTGATGACAAACACTAATTCACTATATTATGTATCAATATATGGAGAGAGAGAGAGAGAGAGATGAATCGGATTACGTGAATTTGTTTTTTTTGTTTTTTGGGATTTATTAAGGTTCACGCAAAAGTCGCTCTCATGTCTCTGTTAAGGAAAAAAGCTTCCAGATGACTTAATTGAGTTGATTAACCTTCTGATTACCATTGTCGGATGTATATCAAATTCCCAACCAGCCCCCGTGTTTTCTCACATAATTACTTTTTATTACAAAAAATAATAATACTTGGAAATTTAATTGCATTAAAAGCCACTGTGATAAATTGCGAGTCAGTAATCAAGCAACTGATCAGATTCAATTCTTCATACGCGCACAAGGCATCCAATTCACACTTTTTATCATCATATTCGAATCCTCACACTGTTGCATTCAGTCCTCTAAATTTAAGGATTTTTTTTTTTTGATCATACTATACTTGTATTTGCATATTGTGGAGAATATTGGATTTATAAATCTAAGTAGGTTTTTTAAGTTGATAATTAAAACGAAGCTATAGAATGATTATATATATACAATATGTGCGAAATTGAGTGTTGAAAACTCTTACTCAATTTTCAATAATTTTTTTTTCCCCGGTAATACAAAATATGATGGCTTCACTTAAACCCTAACAAACTATAGTATAAGGAAATATCACATTTTCATTCTCAACTTGAGTATGACTATTCATCTCGGATTTTAATTGATCATCTTTGTAAATATAATTTTTAGCTTTGTGAAAATATATTACTCTGTATATTTTAAATTATAAATATTATATGTGTAATCATTTATTTTAATATCTCGTGACTATTTCATACATTACAAAATCCCTCATATATAATATAATTTCCCAAGTAAAAGAACTAAATTTGCATAGAATGGACTATGCTTTGTTTTAGCAATAGTTATGCTGTGCAACTGAATGCACCATGCACATGGTGCATACGATGCAAAACGACGTCGTTTTGATTAAAAACGCGCGTCCCACTTAAAAAAAAAAATCAGGTTCGATTCTCGGCAATAGCATTATTGTGGATATATAGTTATGAATTTCTGGATATATAGTTATGAATTTGTGGATATATAGTTATAAATTTATGGATATTTAGTTCATTCATTGTAGATATTTACTTCATTCATTCATTGTGGATATATAGTTATGAATTTGTGGATATATAGTTATGAATTTATGGATATTTAGTTCATTCATTGTGGATATTTAGTTCATTCATTGTAGATATTTACTTCATTCATTCACTGTGGATTTAGTTCATTCATTCTGGATTTTTACTTCATTCATTCACTGTGGATATATAGTTATGAATTTGTGGATATATAAAAATGTTATTGCCGGGAATCGAACATGATTTCTTCTTTAAGTGAGACGCGCGTTTTTTAACCAAAACGACGTCGTTTTGCACCGAATGCACTATGCGCATGGTGCATTTGGTTGCACAGCATAATTTGCGTTGTTTTAGTTACGTTCTTTCCCAATTTGAGCACTACAAATTAAAACAACTTTTAAACCCAAATATTGACATATACCAAACCATATAGCCCACAATTTGAACCACCAAAAGGAGATTTCTTGTGGGCAAAAAACAAAAGCAAACTATATGCATAGGAAGGACGACCAAGTCCCTATGTTCGCGGAGAGTGACATATAGGCAATGGGTCTAACATTGTTTTTTTTTAAAAGATAATTTGGGTTTCTCGATTTCATTTTTTTCAAAAGTTTTAACCCCAAGTTGGCCTGAACCACAGAATTCATCACCTTCACTGTCACTGGTGAGACTTGACCCCTGGTCATTTTTTTCAACTTTCACCTCTATGACCAATTGAGCTGCCCATGCGGGCTCGATTTTAGGATTTCATGAAACCATTATTAGGCGAATAAAAATGTAAATTGCGTCAATTTAGTTTTAAGATTTAACACTAAAATACATTTTTGTGTATAAAAAATTAACCCAAATTCTAAATATTTGTGACAGAAATAAAATCCTTTCACATTGTAAGTAAATTTTAAATGAGACTTTTCATTTACTAAATTAATGCACTAGGCCTGCTCAAGATTGCTTGTTAGTATAATGTGTAGTCAATAGAGATTGAAGTGGCCGTATAGGCTTAGCTAACTGGTTCAATAGACAGTATTCGAGAGAAAAAATTAAAGTTCGAATCATGATAACAACAATGTAAAAATTATACCTAAAGTGAGCAGATTCTTTAACATGGAGAATAGAGATTGAAGTGAGCTATTGACAAAAATTGAAGTTATCTACGTTGTTGTGCTGCACGAAGGGGACAAAAGATAAGTTACACGTTTTGCAAGAAAACGTAAAATTGTCAATTGTGGAGTAGAAATTTTTTATCAATTATTGAGGTAATGTTGGAAAAAAGTGAGATATTTTCAAAAAGTAGTATTTTTGTAAAGAGTAAATTTTATCTGTAGTATTCAAGATTTATATTTAGTTATGATCTTTTTATTTTATTGAGTTTCTAATTTAAATTTTGTCATTCTATCTTTAACGATTATGACTACACAATGACTTTGAAAATGGTTGGTCGAGTCATTGAGTGAGTGAGTTATGATTATAATATTAGAATATCACGAGTTCAATTATTGCCAACATACTTTCGATCCAATTTGTAATACAGGTAACCCTATTAAGGTTTATCTACAAAAAGATAACTAACATGTAATTTTTCACAATATCTCATAAATTCTTTTAATTAAATGATAAAATTATATATGACAGAATTTATGACAAATATATAAAAGCCAACGATGTAACAATACAAAATAAAAATAGTAAATATAGATGTAGTATTTGTCATATTAATTGAAAACTAATAGTGAAATTAACGCACACTTTTAACAAATAAATAAACATGAAATTAACTTTTACTTGAAAAGACAAAAAATGCACCTAAAAAACGTGTCACATATAAGACAATAGGTCACCAAATTTTAGTATAACATATATATATATATATATATATATATATATATATATATCAAACCACCTTGATTCAGGATGGATGAGTCCCTTCTACTCAACCACCGCATCCCCCAGGTTAGTATAACATAATTTTAGTACATGAAATTCATTAGTTCAATTTTTTCAATATCTTTTCGGTCAAGTTTATAGCACAAGGTCTTCCTTTATCACATCCTATAAATCGATTCCGCAATACACAGTCTTCTTAGTGCAACATACCTCTTCTATATGATTTGCATATTACACATAAGCAAAGTGTGTTGCACAAGATCTTGGGGTATTGTGCAGACTATTACACAATGCATACTCTCAAATAGGGATTGCGGGTTCTCCGTCTAAAAAAAAATGCCAAAGAAAAAACTAATAAAGTGTGAGCTTTCATCTTTGCCCCGTTTGAAGTGGTCTACTACCATCTCTTTCTTCTAGAAATAAATCGTCAAAACCTCAATCACTCCAATCTTATACTCAAATCAATAAAGTAAACCTTTGGATTTGACCATTTCAACAAATTATTTTTAAAAAGGGTAAAGAAATGAAGCCAGCATGATCATATGGCTATTTTTGCCAAGAATTTGTAGAGAATAAAGCAAGAGTAAAACTGTAAAAGTTATCTCTATCTTTACCAAAAAGCTTGTGCTTCATTTTTCTTTAAATTTAGGTATTGATTAATCTTGGAGTACAATATATGCTACCATTTTCATTTACCACTTTTGACTGAGTGGAAATGTGGGTTGTAATAATACAAGATATATAGTGGTGTATACAGAGCATTTAGAGACATCAATGCATTCATCCAGCACTAGCAGACAGTTTCAAGGAAACATTCCCTCGAGATACTCGTCAAAATTCTCATCATCCTCGTCTGTTTTATTGCGATCCTCGGCTGATGCTGAAGCTTTTGATCCTGTAAAGGAATAAGTGTACAAGTAACAAGGTTGCAAACCCTTAAAGGTTTGTATGTTGTGTGAAGGGACATGGTTTGCGTCAACTTGATGGTCTTGGTGGGAAGATGGATGCATAGCAGAATGAATGCACATCCCGAATAATAAAAGTGAACCAATGACTAAACAGTGTTTAAAAATCAAACCTTTTTTTCGTTCTCTCCTTCTGTCATGCTCGTCGTCTTCCTGATCGTTGCTTTCAGATCTTTCCCTGGAAAGAGTTAAAAATCATAAAATGTCAGTTCTGTGTGGGGGATTTTTCGGCAATAGAGTGGTGGTGGCGAAAAAATTAGCACCTTTTCCTTCGTTCTTTTTCTTTCAGTTGCTCCTCTTTACGCTTCTTATAGAGAAGCTTCTCAGCACATCTGCAACAAAATGAAGGAAAATTTGATTAGCTATAGTTGCTTTGAAGCTATAATAAAAAAAAATTCATAAGATTATTAAAAATGGGGAAAAAGTAGCATGCAGAGGGCATCACCTCTCACATGTCACCAACTTCACCAGGGCCTGTTTGTTTTCCCCTGCTTCAACATAACAGAAATTCACCTGAAAGAGAAAACTATTAGGCATTTCACCAAATAAAGTGCTTAGATACATAAGCTTCAACAAGAAAAGAACAGAGAAGTTGTTAAATAATAGAGAATAATGGAAGGTGATAAATTGGTTCATTTATGACTTGCACACGTGACTTACCTCATAGCTTGCTAGACCATCTTTTTCATTGCAATGTTTATTACCGCATATGAACTGTCCTGAAATCAAGGGAATTTAATGACTATCTTTGACTCAATCATAAAGGACTCTGCAATTATTAAGACAACTCAT